TGAGCCTGGGCCCCTGGTGTACACACCTAGGCCTGAGGGTGGCCAATGGGCCGGCTGACGGTAGGGCAGGGGCACGGCATGGCCGGTGTGCAGGGGTGTCTGCGTGCACGCAGGCAAGGATGCCGGGGTGACAGCCATCAGGGGGCGGGTGCGGAACTCCAGGGAAACCCAGAATTCGACATCTGAACGCGGCCTTCAGGCCACTGCCAAGGTCTGTTTGTCAAGGGAGGGGACCATTCGGCAGAGTTTAATACCTTGACGTACAACTTTTAAACAGGTAGCCGCACGGTATGTGCAAAGGTTAAGAACAGGTGCCAGGCGGCCTGCTCCCCTGGGTGCTGGGTCCTAAAGAATGCCACCCCCCCACCCCCCCGTGTCTGCCTTCTCCCTGTGGTTCTGATCTCACGCTCCCCCCGCTCCCCCCAGAGGTGAACTGGGGCTCCTCCGTGCAGGCCGGCTCCTACAACATGGCCCTGAGCTACTCCGTGGGCCTCAACGAGGTGGAGGAGCACATCAAGAACTACCGGTGAGCACAGCCTCGGGCGCCCAGGACCCGGGCCACCTGCCCTGCCGGGAGGCTCCAGGCCGAGACCTGTCCGCTGACCAGGGCAGACCCAGGGTGGGCACAGCCCCCGCCAGGGAGGGAACAGAGGTGCCCCGCCTGGGGGTCAGGGGACGGGGTTGACATTGCCAACCAAGGGGACCAAGCACGAGGGGTGAGCTCTCTGTATCTCAGAAGATGCTCTTTGTAGTACGAAGGGCTCCATCAGGCCGACAGGTGAGGGAAGTTCACACAAGGACCCGAGAGGCTGACTGAGAGCCTCTTCAAAGCCGGTTCCCTCCTTAGTGAGGCGCATCCTGCCCCCAGGGCCCCCTTCCCGACCCCCTTCCCGCCAGATCGTCATGCTAACGATCGGCTCTATTTATGTGGCTTCGCTGCGCCAGTGCCCTACACCGTCCCACCACAGCCTCTGAGGCGTATGAAATTACTAACCCCATTCACAACAAGCATGCTGAGGCACAGAGTGGTTAGGTAACTGGCCCCGGGTCACACAGCGGAGTGGCCAATTTTGTCTAACTGAGTCTGGTAGCGGTCCTTGACCATGACCCATGACCCTGGGCTGCCTCTAGACTCAGAGGCTGAGCCACTCACCCAGGTGATGACACAGTGAGCTGGTACGTGACTGGCCTCCCCCCTGCCCCCCATCTTTATTCTCCCACCACCGTGCTGGGCTGGGCAGCAGCACCAGGGGGAGTGGTAAAAAAGGTGTTTTGCCAAGTGGAGCTTTTGGGGGCCGGAGCAAGAAGGACAAAGGAGACCCCGTGTGGCGGCCACCACGAAATCTGCCAGGGCCCGAGAGCCACCCTTGGGTCCCGGACGGGAAGATGAGGTCCCGTGTTCAGGGGCCTCCCGGAGGCCACACAGTGGTTCTAAGCAGGGAGGCCAGGAGCTGGTGGAAATCCGGGCCCCGGCGTTGGCACCCAGACCCCCGTGGGCTCTGTCCGGATGGCTCATCCCTTTCCCCTTCCCCTCCTCAGCCCCCAGTGCCTGGTGCTCACGGGGCCCCCCAACTTCCGCCCGGCCCTGGTGGACTTTGTGGGCACCTTCACGCGGAACCTCAGCCTGATGATCTGCGGCCACGTGCTCATCGTGAGTGCCCCCCGGAGGTGGGGTGGGGTGGGGCAGTGCTCCTCAGGGGCCTGGGGCGAGATGTCCACCCAGGGGACACGCCCTCCTCTTCCTCTCCCTCCCCTACGTCCAGCCCAGTGGGCAGCCTCCAGGGCGGAGAGGGGCTGAGTTTCAGGCCAGAGGCAAAGGCAGTCCCTGATGTCACCTGCCCCCCCCCCGCCCCCCCCCGGCAGGGAGCCCCCAGCCAACGTACTTCCTGGACAAATAAATGAACACGCCAGTGAAGTTCACCATGAGGAGAAACGGCGCAAACAGAGGATGCCTGAGCTCCGGGCCATCGCCAACGGGCACACCAAGTGGCTGAACAAGAGGAAGATCAAGGCCTTCTACTCGGACGTCATCGCCGAGGACCTGCGCAGCGGGGTCCAAGTTCTCATGCAGGTGCGCGGGCTCGGGGTGACCCGGAAGGCAGGGCATCCTGGGGGCTGGTTGGAGACCCCGTTGCTGCAGCAGGAGCCCCACCTTCCTTGCCTCTCCACATAAGCCCCGTGGAATGCACAGGCCCCAGGAAACGGACTGGGAAGCCCATGGGGGCTGTGCCACCTGGGGATCCTCTTGAGTGTTTTTTTAAGATATAATTTACCAACAAAGTGAAAAAAAAAAGTTAAGCATATAGTTTTCATATGCAGACCTACTCAGGGGTAGGAAACCACCAGGCAGGTCAAGGTCGTGAACATTCCCCTGGCATTTTACTGCTCGGTTTTCTCATCTGTGAAATGGGCTGCGTAGATAAATGACAGGTGTTGATTCTGACTCAATATATGGGCATCCCTTTTCATAGTTTTAAAGATTTCTCAAAATTAAAAAAAAAAAAGAACACGTAGGATCTCCTTTTGGGGTTATGCCACCAACTACTTTTGGGGTTAGGCAACCACTTTAAAACGATTAACTTTGTTATCTGAATTCCACCTCGAAATATTAAGTAATATTTTAAACATTAAAAAAAACAAACAGAGAACTATCAAAGATGTATGGGTTAGATGACCCAGGAATATCCCAAGCTTGACACCCATGTTCTAGCCCCTTATTGAGAAATAATTCGAGAGAGAAACAGGCGCTGGGATAATCCAGGACAAATGGGACAGTCCAGGCGCCAGCCAGGCCTGGACAGGCCACAGGGGGTCTTTGCCTTTCTCATGGTGTGTCCAGGCCGACAGGACCCTGGACAAGGGGGTGTATTTCCTGGGTCCTTTGCCACATGGGGGAGAGAGCAGCCGGGCCGAGAGCCCCACCCTAGTCACAGACCAGGGCCTCGGGGGTGTGAGGCCTGACTCCCCACCTCGTCCCTCCCCTCCGCAGGCTGTGGGTCTGGGGAGGATGAAGCCCAACATCCTGGTGGTCGGGTTCAAGACGAACTGGCAGTCGGCTCACCCGGCCACGGTGGAGGACTACATCGGCATCCTGCAGTGAGTGAGGGCTCGCGGGGGGCGGGGCCTGGGGTCTGTCCACTTGGGCCCTTGGGGTCTCTGGGCCTTGGGAAGTGGAGGGGAAGCAGTGTTGACGTAAGACGCTGAGTCACTGGTTCAAAGCTGAGAAAAGGGTTAAGCAGGTAACACGGAGAGCAAAGTGGCCTAGGTGTGGGGCTCCAGGGAGCAGTGGGGACTGTGGCTAACTGGAGACAGGCTCTCGGCTCCAGTCAGTTGTGCCAGGAAGAAACATGGGCCAGCGTTGCCAGATCTTCCAGTTCTACAGAGAAGTTGAAGCTATGGGTGTTCAGGTGAAAACCTGTGCCCGCCTGTGGGCTGCAGGACAGATGCAGGTAGCCAGCGCGAGGAGCTGAGGTAGCACCTAGGAGCAGGCGGTGAAACCAGGCCTCTGTTGGGGCGACAGCATGGGGAATGGACGGGGGGTTAACTCCACACCCTTCCTCATTTATCTCGCGGGAATGCTACAGAGGAATGTTACAGCAGGAGGTGGGGACACCTGCTCTCCGCTCCCCCAGCTCCTGCATCCCACGAGTCCAACCCCTGAAAGGTCCCTGTCCCAGAGACGTGCAATCAGAGGAGTCCAGAGAGGGCAGGGCTTAGCCTGTTAGATCAGCCCTAATGCGGGGCCCTCGGGCCCTGTGTCCACCTGCAGTGAGTGTACTCTGATACGTGATCCATATAGACAGCCCCTTCTTCAGTGTGTGAGCGTGGGTGGGTTACTCCCCAAACTCGGCTTTTGTGGCTGTGAAATGAGGTAATAATTCCCACGCACCCCCACCTCTGTTGCCAGAGTCGTGGGGATTATTCAAACGTATCAGGAGGACAGGGCCCGGCTCGAAGACTGGCCTGACTCTGTTTCCCCCTGAGTGCAGGGTCCTGGGATCCACAGTGCACCAACCGCAAAGCCAGTGGGTCCTGGGGACCCTCCGTGCTGCCTGCACATTGCACAGATGGGGAGACTGAGGCCCAGAGAGGAGAAAGGGGATGGTGGGAGGCAGGCCAGCTCCAGACCTCCAGTTTTTGGGGGGCTGGTGGCCGGGGCTGCAGGAGCCTGACCCCACCTCCTCTCTTTCCAGCGACGCCTTTGATTTCAACTACGGAGTGTGCGTCATGAGGATGCGCGAGGGGCTCAACATCTCGGAGGTGATGCAGGCGCACAGTGAGTGCACGCCCCGCTGCTCGGCACCCCTGTCAAAATCCGCAACAGGATCCCAGAAAGTTCTAGAACCCAATTTTTTTTAAGTGGTCGTGGGACGAGAGGGGGAAATGAGTAAGGAATGAAGGCCACAGACTCCTAGAAAGTCGGCTTTTCATGGCCCCTTAGAGCTCATCAGGTTTCCAAATGGAGAAACTGAGGCCCATGGTCCATTCAAGGTCACGCTTCCCGCTGGGGGCAGCCCAGGCCTCGGAGCTGCCGGAGCCCGGTCAGTGCTTTAGTGACCAGATTGGCTAAGAAGGACCCGGAAAGAGGGGAGAGGAACGCCCAGGGGAACACCCGACAGGAAAACACACAGGGGGCCAGGGGAACGGGACGTCTTGGTCTCCGAGACCATCGCTGGGCGCGGAGAGGGATGTGCTTAGCGTGTAAAGTCACGTATGAGTATGCGGACTCTGAGTTCATGCGAAATAAACGACACGCATGAAAACAAATGGGGGCTGTGGGCCGGGGGAACGGAAGGGGTGGCCGCCGTTTCTCGCAGGCAGGGCCGGGTCCTGTCACCGAGGCCAGGCCTGCCCGGCACGGGGCACAGGGCAGTCAGTGAACATTAACGCAGAGGGTCTTTGCAAGGGGCAGCCAGGCTCCTGACGACGCTGATCCAGGCGCTGGGGGTGCGGAGGGAGCTGCTGGGAGACGCAGGGGACCCACGTCAGACAGTGTCAGAGGGGCCCAGCAGCCTCTCTGAGCCGGGGCTCTGGGGGGAAGGCGCTCCTGGTTCCGGGGCACCCACCACCGGGACTGCGGGGGGAAGGGAGCCCTGTCTGAGGGACGGAGCAAGCGGGTGGGGCTGGACCGAGATCCGTGGAAGGTGGGGTGTCAGACTTGCTTCCTTGCAAAAGGGGGAGAAAGAACCGGGGTCCCGGGCGAGGACAGTCGGGAACACAGCTGCTGTCCCTCTCTTGCAGTTAACCCCGTGTTTGACCCGGCCGAGGACGGCAAGGAAGCCAGCGCCAGCAGGGCCCGGCCGTCCGTCTCTGGCACACGTCAGTCCCCAGCCCACTCAGGGCTCAGGGCTCTCCCCCTGCGTGGCAGCTAGTGGGGGCCGCAGGGGAGCTTGGTCAAGGGCAGGGGAGGCCCCTGGGATCTCTGGGGTCGGGTAACTGTGGGGGTGGGGTGGCTGGGGCAGCATTGATGACCGCAGACCTGACGGGGAATTCGGTGTCTGGGCATCTGGGCATCGTGGGAACCCACCCAGCAGGCTCTGGGGCCTGTGTCCCACCCCCTCAAGGCTCTCTGGCC